ATATACATATATACATATATACATATACACACATATATATATATATATATATATATATATTATTATATTATTATATATATATATATATATATATGTGTGTGTGTGTGTGTGTGTGTGTATATATATATCTATGATATGATGTACCCTGCCCAAGTCCTTGTCATATGCCTCAATTGAATCCAATTTCAAATTCAAATACAATAACTCATAGTTATTTAACAAAAAACGTTGCAAGTCTCAGTCGTTTTTTTATTTGTATACGTTTAGTATATTGTCTTTATCTTGTGGCTAGGTTTGTGCAACGGTTATCATTGTTACGTAGTTGTCTTAAGCAGATAGGATAGATCATTCGGCTCTGACGGGTCCCAACTAGATATTACTTCGTCACGGCATACAAAATCGAGCTCTCTTATTGGATCGACAACCCTTAGTTCGGTCCATATCAACAATCAATGGATATCTTGGAACTGAATGCCTTTTCTTCAGTAACTTGGGCCCTAGTGTAAGTTAAAGTACGTGTAACTTTGGTCGGAATCACCAAACATGGATACTAAACCACCAACATATAGCACGCATTTGGGTTTCTTATTTCTCGCTTAAGGCAGCGCACCGAATGGGCACAGTGACCCATTTTTGTTGTCATTCATAGATTTCTTGTTTCTTCCGTGCCCATAAAATAATTCCCAAGTCGATAGCCAGTGCATGTGAGGATGCTATACCAACACTATTAGGTAACAAGTGTGTCTGTGCGTGAGGATTCATACTAGTCACAACCTCGTATATCTCCTCACAAAAATCTATATAGGTACTGATACAAGCTCGGCAGCTAGTCGCAACCTCACAAGTAGCTATACTGCTGCAGCCAGAGATGGCTTTCGTCTCTCTTCAAAAGATTCAGTCGATGAATTCACAGACGAGGATTTAGAGTTCTTCAGTACCGGCCTGGCATTGGGTATTGTCATGCCCATAAGTCGCATACGCTCTTCGAGAAATTCAACACGCAACTGCAGTTCACCATTCTCGCACTCTAAGTCGTTGTTTCTGGTACGTAGATCAGAAGTTTCCGTTTCCACGATGCTTTTCTTCAGCATCCTGAGAGGGTCTTCTCCGTGTACATTGCGTGTATCGTACAGCCTCCACAGATCGTCTACTACACCTGATTCTTTGAGGTATAGTTTGAAGCTGTCTTTAGATTCGCTTGTGGCCGAGGAGCGCTTACGTTCGGTAATTGCGGCAGGCATGATTTTGTACTGTTGGTGCGTAGAGCTGTACGTAGTATCTGAGTGTTCGACCCAAACTCGCTATTATTATACATATATTTTGTATGTGCGTATACAAATGTACGAAATTGTTTATGCAAACATATGTACACAAATGTATATATTTTTGACGCGGTGTGGTGCGAACTTGTTTTACGATTGGGTTGAGAGTTGAGACTTGTCATCACTTCTCGCTCTATATTTTAACACAGCCTGTCTTTTTTATAAGAATATAAATAGCACAACCACGAGCCAACAACCTGCGAGGCGATTCGGCGAAATATTTAAAAAAAAATGGTGCAAACAATCAATGGAATCCTCAATGAGCAATCGCCAATCTATACGTCAGTCGTCAATACGTGACCCAGTGACGCTCTTCACATATACAGCTCTTTGCTCCGTTCTCTGGCTGTGATATGTGTTATAAAGAAAAAATGTTTTAGAATTATAGATAACAAACTATAGCCAATGGAATCAATCACAATATTCTATCATTCTAACGTTACGTCATTTTGCAATTTAGGAGGCTATGTTTTATTTTTGTGATTTTCGGTTTTCTCTGTGTCTCCACAGTCCACAGTGTTTGTACTCTGGCTGGTCTCTGTCGTCAGGCGTCAGCCATTGTACACTGTAAAATGTAAATCTAAAAGCTGGTAAACGACACGCCTTATGGTTTTGACGACACGCCTTATGGTTTGGACGACACGCCTTATTGTTTTGACGACACGCCTTATGGTTTTGACGACACGCCTTATGGTTTTGACGACACGTCGCGACCGCCTTGTTGCACTTTGCTCAGACGACATGTTGCGACTCGCGACCTCATAACAGCTCATCTGTAATAAATACACGACTGAGCCGTGAGCGATGAGCTTGTGAAGCCTCAGAAGACAGAACTCAACCGCACAGAGTGGACTCAGTGGAGTCCGAGCTCTCTCTCTACTACTTACTGGTAGTACTGTAGTAATGTAGAGAGCGAGAGAGAGTGTGTGTGTCTGTCTGTCTGTTGACTCTGGTGACTGGTCTGACCACTACAAGAAGAGTGGCGAGTGGCGACTGTCTAAAAGTTTCACAGTCTGTCGGTCGTCGGACGACGGACTGAGAGTACTAATGTGATATTTTATGTTAAAAAACCAGACCAAAATTAAAAGTCAGAGTTCAAACTACCAAAAGACTATTGAATTTTAATTTTCCACATAGTACAGAAAATACAATTTCTATTTGATAGTAAAATTAAAAACTTGAAAATATTAAGAATTGAAGCGGGAGCAGCTGCTTTATTTGAAGGTGTTTAATTTGTTGAAATTCGTGACTCGTCTTTTAAATTTTTTTAATAATATTTCATACTTGCAACTTGCCACTTAGGGTCGTTCTTAACGTGGAGTGAAATTTTAAGAAACCATTTTAATTAAAATGTTGGTACCGAGATTTGGTACAGGTTGTTTTTTCGTTGTAGCATTTCATGATTTTGCAATCCGTAAAATTCATCGATATCAAACTGTGATTGGCTGCCCAAATCTAATCAAATAGACCCGCGTAAGTTCTCAAATTCACATATATGGTGTACAGAATCGCGTGCGCTCTCCTTGACATAAATCATTCAGTTTGTATTTATAACAGTAAAAAATATGCCCATAAACACTCGTATATGTGCTATATGTTTTATATAGAGTAGGCGTCCAGCCTTTGTTCATCACAGAAATGATCACACTACAATCTCGAGTTCGGAATGCGGTCGACACGCAAACTAAATGCGCTCGGCTTCATATACTATGGCAGATGTTGCAACAACAATCAGGCATCGCCGAACAAGTGCCTTGGCCACGTTTGGTTTGCGGTCGTGGCTCTCTAGTACGCCGTGAACGCGCTAATTGGGACAACATAGGTCGTATTTTAATGAAAGAGAAGTCGTTTGAGAACGCATTTAGAATGAGCTGTTCAAAGCTTATATTCTTAGCACAAGAAATAAATGAACCATGTAGACGTAATAAGAAAATGAGAATGTTACGAGGAGGCGAAATAGATGTAGAGATACAGTTGGCCATATTTCTACGTATGGCAGCGAGTGGAAGGTATCAAGACATAAAAAGTATATCAAGTGCGAGTGTCTATGCGTGTTTCTGGCGAGTGGTAGATGCAATTGATGGGCTTGACTGGATGAAATTTTGATTTCCCTCAACTGAAGAAGAAATAGTTCAAATATCAAGGATTTGGAAACCATTCAACACATGGAGTGATGAATCGGTGTGTAGGTGCCGCTGAAGGATTATTTGTTCGTGTACTGTTTCCTACACTTAAAATAATGTTCCTATAGACGATGTTTGTATTCAGGCCATAAGACAGGGTATGGCCTGAATGCACAAGCGATTTGTGATTCAAACTACAAATTCTTAGTTCAATGCACGATAGGTGTGCATGGGAATATTCTAAATTTATGAAACTTATAGCTCTTCTCCCTCCTGGTTATTACGTAGTCGGTGACGCAGCATATAGAAATATAGACACAATGCTCGCACCTTCTCCTGGTACACGTGACAAAATGGGGGATGCTTGGGATGCTTATAAATTTTTTTCAGTCGCAAACCCGAATGCATATTGAGCAAGCACTCGGGATACCTGTACGAAAATGGGGACTACTTCGGTCGCCTATGAGACTTCATTTTTTAGAAGTGCCGAAGGTAGTTCTTGTTCTAGCTAAACGTCATAATTATTGTCTAAATGGCGCAGGGTACAAGCGTGTACACAGTCTAAAGCCACCTGTCCAACTGTCGATAAAAATAGTAGACTTGGCTCCCAATTCCGTCACCCCAATAGAAAAATTTGACCTGTATCTCATCGTGGACGTACGGAACGAGAAAACATAAAGGACTTTATCGAAGCCTAAGGATATATGAGAACCGAGACAAATATTATTAGGAGTAAAAATCGTGCAATGTAACTTATATTCGTAAATAAAATATATTTATGTGTGCGCATGCGTGATCTTTTGTATATTTGTATATGTGTTTGCGCATGCGTGATCTTTCGTATATTTATATATTTATATTTATAAACGTGTGTGCGCATGCGTGGTCTTTTGTATGTTTATATATTTTTATTTGTATTTGTGTGTGCACATGCGTGGTCTTTTGTATATTTTTATATTTGTATTTTTTTAGGTGCATGCGAATGCGTGGTCTTTTGTAAATATTCATATTTGTATAAGTGTGAGCGCATGCGTGGTCTTTTGTATATTTTTATGTCTAAGTTTGTATTTGTGAATGCGTATGCGTGGTCTTTTGTATATTTTTATATTTTTATTTATAGTTGTGTGATAGTTAATGTGCTTATGTCTATACATATGAATCTAATTGAACATTATATTTTTCATTTCAGCCTTACACTTTGTAATGGCGCGCTCGATGAGTTCTATAAGTTCAGGGTCGTCAGATGCGTCTCGTAAGTCTCTTTTAAGGTCCATTATCTCTTTTGAGATAACACCCAGATCCTGTTTACTGTGTAACAATGTGTCATTCTTAACGAACATTTGAACACTCTTCAGAAACGTTTCACTAGCGGCATCATTGGACGTATCAAGTTCCTTTTTTCTATTCTCCGCCGCGTCTCGTTCAGCTTGCTTGATCTTATTTCTATGACTCTCAGTTCGACCTGTACTTGTTACATCCACGCCTTTATCTTCACAATCAGATCCTGAGTTGGATGCCGAGCCTGAATTGTCGAATGCACTAGACATATCATTCATGAGAGGGCCGCCGGCCACCGCGTATAATGTTTTCAAGTCACTCTCGCCTCTTGGAAAAATATACGTATACAAGAAGAGAGTGCTCATTTTGCCTCGAAAGAAATACATTTGGGTCGGCGCATGATGGCCTGACTTCTCCTTGTTCGTTTGAACAACAGCAAAGTCTGCCTTTGTGTTCTTCCACCAGCCTATTAGTTTGTTGCGCACCGCGATTTTATACACAACGTCGCCGAATGATAATTTTTTTTTGGCGAGATTCACGAATGACATATCCATAGGATCCACTCTGTCCATGCGCTCAACCATAGCTTTCTGTACGTCTGACAAAATGTTCCAATCTTTTTTCAAAGCCTCGACTGAAGGCGGTGCTGGGAATTGACTGTTTGCTATGCGACCCTCACGTATTTTCTCTTATCGCTCACATCGTCGACTCCATCGCTATCACTATCTTTGTTGTATTCGTCCCCACTAAAAGATGTATCCGCTGCGACATTCCAAGCATAGTCGGTATCCATAAATGCATCTGTTACTTTGGTCCAAAAAGTATTATTGTCTCCAGTGACTTTGTTGTCAAGCATAACTGGTGTGTCCCCTTCTTCCAATGATACCAAGTCATTATAGTGTTTATCGTCAATAATATTTGAGCAAAATCGTTCAAACGCGTTATCCGTTTTACGGAGGACAGTGGACTTTTGAGCTGGCTCATTCTCTTTGACAACTTTTGTCATGTTTGAAGGTTTCTTCAATACCTTCGTTTTTTTCTTAGGAGTTACATTGAGAGGTGTTGAATATCAGCTAGGCATTCCGTCTGTTACTAGATCATTGTCGATCAGTGCGTAAATGTTTATGAGGCATAGTTCGTGCTGTTGTTGTTGAATCGCTCAAGAATGCAAAATCCGGTGCCGAATCTGTCGTAGTCTCATCAGTTCCATCATGTACTGAAGAAGGCTTTGGCGATGGCTGAGTATCATGTGCGGCGCTCTCCTTATCGCTGCTGTCGGATAAATACGTCCACGTCTCCTTCTCTTGGCATCCTTCCGTATCCGATGTCTCATCTGGAGGAAGCTTAAATATGGAGGGGTACATAGAGGCAGTTCCAGTTTCAATTTACTATCTTTTGTTGCGATACACTGCTGTTTCATGCTGAAGGCCATCGAATCTTTATCCAATACTTCAATTCCTTACACAACACACACACACCACACTTCTAAACGACTAGTTCGACGGACGGATATCATGTTATTGTGCAACCGAACGCTTCACCTTCACTGTCGATAAAAATTTATGTTTGATCAACAGCTCAACACTACAAATAAATCAAAATGTGGCGGGCTGCACCACCAATCAGCCTCTACTACGTTTATGATATCGCGATTTCCAAACGTATTTAATGGTACGTATATTGATTCTTTAACAGCATTTTTCTTAAAGGTGAGGCACAATTTTTGACGTCCTTGTGTTTTAAAGACATTTGAAATTCAAATCAATTCAAGCATCTCATTGGCCAACTGAATACTAATTAAATTTTCTTTAGCGGATCCTCCCGTTAAGAACTACCCTTACAAAGTTGCCAGTTGCAACGTGAACGTCGTGAACGTAAATAAAAATATTTATGATTCACTCAGATTCTCAGAAGGCTACGCGTGACCCTCGTAATATATATATATATATATATATTTAGTTCAATTTAGAAGGCTATGGTTGAGGAGGTTTTATTGTAAAACGCATATTTATTTGTAAAAAAATGTTGCGTTTGACTGAAACCCCTTTTTGTTTTTACACTAAAAAAAAGCTACCATGTTCGTACGATTTGATTGGGTCTAGACCAGATATTATAACACGGTGTTAAAAATTCAAAATCGTGAAATAGTTGAATATGACCAATCGTTGGAGAGATCGTACGGATACCGGACTCAGTAGCCATTCCAAACAAACCAAACAACACAACTGGTTTGTGGACGATTGTGTGGTGGTGCAGTGAAGTGACTCATAATCGATGGCATTCTTTGATTGGCTAGGCGAAGGCCGATGAGATCACTTGACTTCAGAAATTCGAAAATGGAGTGTTCGAAAACTTCCGCAGTTCTTTCGTACACTGTGCAACTGCAGTAGTGCACACTTGCACAGTGTGCACTGTGTAGTGTACAGACAGGCGCTAGAGCACAATGTGCACATTTAGCACAACTGCGCAATCTTCTCGGTCATTTTTCGTGTGATTGTATTACATTCTTCAAGAATAACGTTCTATTTCACTCTACCACCAGAGAGTGGAGGGAGATAATATATATTGCACATCGCGCGAGTGGAGAGGGGGTGTGTATCCACTACCCTCAGTAGAAATCTTCTTGTGAACGAGATAAAAATCGGAGAAAGATATAATGAATGACGTTCATACCAGACGATTCGCCTTTCTCTAGTGATAAAGGTATACTGGCTTTAATATATAGCCTGGCTGGTCTGTTAGCTCTCGTAGTGTAGCTGACATGTTCAGATGAACAACAAGCGTTAGCTTACACAAATACTTGATTGTATTGAATTTAAATTGATATTCATGTATAGACGGTCGAACTCATGAAATTTGAATATATATACATATAGAATCGAAAACGTGCATATACGACTAAAATGTGCTGCCGATCTTTATATATACATATACATATATATATGTATATATATATAGCAAGAATGCATGTACTAAATGAGTATACTATATGCATGTATATTTCATGTATTATATGCATGTATGCTTGTATTTATGTATTCATGTATTCATGCATGTATGCAGTATTTATGAATATATGTATGTATGTATGTAAGTATGTATAT